TCGTGGGAGCGGCCAGCAGGGGGGGGGGGGGGGGGAGCCTGGACGTGTTGACGAGCGCCGGCAAGTCAACTCCCCGAGCGGGAGTGTCCGTGTAGCCCGGCCGTCGCCGTCGTGCCCCCCCCCCCCCCCCCCCCCCGCGCCCGGCGTGCACCTGGCTTGGGGCGGGACCCAGACGGGCCAGGGGGGTGTACCTTTTTCGGGCCCCGCCGCCCTGGTTTACACCCCCCCACCTGGTGCCAGTCGGCAGTGCTCCCCTTCCCCCCCCCCCTTCCTCCCCTTCTTCCGCCTCCCCCTTGTCACTGCCCCACCCCCCTGCCTCCCCTCTCGGCCACCAGTGGTTCCAAGCCCTCGCTCCCGGCTCCCCTCCCCCGTCCCCCCCCTCCCCCGGCATGGCGCCCCGCATCGCCGCTGGGCCAGGAGACGCCTGTCAGGGCGAGTCCGCACACGATGGGAAGGAGCTCCGGCTCACGCGCGCCGCCGGGCTCGGGCGCCAGCACCTAGGGCCCCGGCACCTGCGGCCCCCGGCCAAGCACCAGGGAGCGGGGGGGGGGGGGGATGCCCGGGGCCGGGGGGGCCGCCAGGCGAGGGAGCGCTCCCGGGAGGACGCCTGGTGGGCGGATGTGTTGTCCACCGGGCGCGGGGATGTCTCTCGACACCAGCACCCGGCCGAATGCTCGCCCGCCCCCAAATCGGCGCAAGCGCCCCCCCGCCCGCCCCCCCCCCGTGCGCGCAGCACTTGCCTCGGAGAAAAGCACCCCCGCCCTGCGAACGGGAGGGGGCGGTCGCCGAGCTGGTGAGCCGAAAGAGCCCCCAGGCACCCGAAAAAGAGGACATTCGTCCTGCCCCCGGCCCCCCCCCCCCGACCGCCCCATTGACAAGTGCGTGTGTGTGTGGTGTGTGCGTGTGTGCATCTTGATGCAGGAGTATGCGCGTGCATGCGGGGGCGTGCGTGTGCGACGGGCCGGCATCTCCACATCGGCGTCCACCGCATCCCCGGCGGGTGGCGGCATTGTCATTGTTCAAAGACGGCTGGCGTTCTCTGTTGACGGGGGGGGGGGGCGGGCGGCGAGGGGGGCGATCG